AATCTCCTCCAAACACCTCCGTATCCACTTCCAATCCGGTTCATGGGTGATCGAGGATCTCGGTTCCTCCAACGGTACATTTCTTAACACTTTAGCTGTCGATCCATCTCGCCCCGCTAAACTTACCGACGGTGATAAAATAAAAATCGGCGAATTAACCTCCATCGAAGTCAAAATTGAAGCAATGAAAGTTGATTCAGTTGAAGAAGCTGAGATGAAGTGTAAAAATACCCGGCGAAACCCTAGGCGTAAGGAATTAGGGGTTTTATATGAAAATTGCCCCCAATTAGGGTTTGGAAATGGTGGAATTGAGAATGTGGGTGTGGGTTCCAAAAGAACAACGAGGAGTTCTAAGAGTGCCGAAAATGAGAATTTAACTGTAATTGAAGTTGAGAAAGGGAGGAAAGCGAATCCGAGGAGGACTAGGGGTTCTAAGAAAGAGGAGAGTGTGAAAAATATGGTTGATAGCGTGATGGAAACTGAGAATTTTACTGTAGTTGATGTTGAAAGAGAGACAAAACGGGGTACACGGAGTAGGAAAGTGGAGAGTGTTAAAGATGGGGATGATGATGCGGAGGAAACTGAGAATCTTGCTTTAGTTGATGTTGAAAGAGAGACTAAATGGTGTACGAAGAGGACAAGGGGTTCTAAGAAAGTGGAGAGTGTCAAAGATGTGGATGATGGTGTGGAGAAAAGTCAGAGGCTTGCCGTGGTTGATGTAGAGCAAGAGAGTAAACGGTGTACGAGGAGAACGAGGGGTTCTAGGAAAGTTGAGAGTGTTAAAAATGTGGATGATGGTGTCGAGGAAACTAAGAGTCTTGCTGTAGTTGATGCAAATCAAGAGAGGAAACCGAGTCCGAGGAGGACTAGGGGTTCTAGGAAAGTGGTGAGTGTTAAAAATGTGGATGATGCTGTGGAGGAAGCTAAGAATTCTGTAGCAATTGATGTTGGGAAAGAGAAGATAGTGTATGTAAGGAGGACTAAGAGTTCAAGGAAGGAAAAAGATGCAGAAAATATTCATGAAAATGCAGGTGAAAACATGGAATTGAAGCAACTTGAGAAAGGGAAGGGAAGTGCCGCAAGAAGGGAGTGTTTGGAGGAAGAGGGGTTGATGGAGAGGTTGGAAAGAAACCAAAAAGATCGTGAAGAAGCAGTAGAGAACAATGCCGGTGAGGGAGTAGAAAGAAATGTGATTGATGAGGTGGTAGTGAAATTGGGAAGGGAGAGTTGCGAGGTTTCGGTTAGTAATGCTGGTGTAAGTATGAGTGAGGTCCAAGAGGAGAAGGAGGTGGATTTAGAGAAAATGACACTTGGAGAGTGGTTTGATTATTTGGAGGTTCATTTGCCAAAACAAATAATTGATGCCACCGAGGAGATGATTTTAGATATGAAACAGAAAGCAGAGAAGTTTCAGGAGTTCATGTTGCAGCACAAGAATGCAAAGGATTGTGATGGAATACCAGAGGGCTAGACCGAGGACTCATTCTTAGGTAATTTTTCTGTTGCATTGCTGTTTGTATCAGGGGAATTCATTTTCTAGACATAGTTAAATTTCTTATTTGCATAAATGCTGCTCTGTTCTATCTGTATATTGTGAACCCTTATTTACCTACAAAAACTGAAAGATTCTCATTTAGTTGAAGCAATCTAAGAAGTTGATGACAAAACACTTTTCCTTTTGTTGTTAAATTCCCGTTCTGGAAGCGAAATGCTTACTTTGTTTATTCAGTTGGAATTTTCATGCCCCTGTAAACAGTGTTGATAATTTTTTTTTGAGTGAATCCCCCTAAACGATCATGTTTTTGTCAGTTACCTACTTAAACTACCCGGTGTCCCCAAACCCCCCCTAACTATATACCCCTTTATATTAAAAATCCCTCGTCGATTTTTTAGTGGTGCGTGTGAGACACCTTTCTATTTACTCAGCCTAATCTAAATATCAATTTAATTAAGAATTTTAACTAATAATAAAAATTAATTAAATGGGTAAATGTTTGGGGGGTTAAAAAAATCAAAGAAAGAGGGTAAAGGGATAAACACATGGTCATTTGTAAAAAAAAAAAATTCTCTTCCATCTCCTCCGATAATGGCTACACCATGTCTCAATCGTGATTTTCGCTATTAAACTTTGATTAAACATTGAATTTTTCCCATTAACCTTCAATTTCACCGGGAATTTTAGTTTAATACAAGATTTGGGGAAAAAAATAGGGTTCGGTAAAATTTCAGTAAGGGTTTGATAAAAATTATGATCTTTCGGCGGACTAAATAGTGTTGAAAGGAAGACCTAAATGAAAAAGAAAGATAATTTTTGAAGAAACAAGAGAAGAATTTTTTTAAGATGAAACCATAAGAAGAAAAGAGGAAAAAAGATAAAAAAATGAAGAGGAAGGCTAGAATATAAAGAAAATAAAGGGGAAATAGAAAAATTAATTTTTTTAAAGAGGGTAACAGTAATTAACCATTAGACACGGGCAATTGCGGGCATTTTTATGTATAATTTCATCTCCCACGCGCCTTTTGGCGAGTTACCTTACATATTTCATTAAAAAATCGACGAGGGAGTTTGTAATATATAGGGGGATATAGTTAAGGGGGTTTTGGGGACACCGGATAGTTTAAGCATCTGACAAAAACGTGATAGTTTAGGGGAGTTTTAGGGTATTCACTCATATTTTTTTGGATACTGTTAGCTCCCTGATACTAGCTTGGAGCTAGTTTTTTGTTGTTTTCAATATTTTTGATCGGATAGCTTCCTCTCTACCTTTGTAGGGTAGGGGTAAGGTCCGCGTACACACTACCCTCCCAAGACCCACTTATGGAAATACACTGGGTTTATTGTTGTTGTTGTTGTTGTTGTTGATCTGTTAGCTTCATGTAGTTATACTGAAGCTAGCTTTTGATTCCTCTTGTACTTCTGCATCTTCTTGATGCCTTTTCTAATGCAATTTGCTTACCTTATCAAAAAAGAAAATCCCGTTCTTTAATGGCAGTGATGAATCTGATGCATATATATGTCCAATGTCCAGAGATTTAGTCCAATGCTCAGTGACTTCTCAAGTCCAAAGCAGGGATACTTATCATTGGAGTTATGCTTATATAGTTTAGGAGACAACAAAAGTCCAAAACAATGTCTTGTGGGCAGCAAAAGTGGGACACTGACCTGTTATTTCCAATTTTATTATAATATTGAATACATGAGCATTAGCGTTCCATACTGTAACTGCATACTGTAAAGTTAGAACCTGGTTTAGTAGAAGATGTTCAACCTCAGATGAGACAGTGGGAGGCCGGAGGAGGAAGCGCAATACTGCTAAAGAAAAGTGTCCTACAAACTGAAGTGAGCAGAATGTTATAGCAATACATGATCTGGCAGATGGCAGTATACTTACTGTTTCACCTGGGGTGATGCTTCTGATTCTAACATTGGTTGGGCTGACCTTGATTTTGGTCTCTCTAGCATCTTTCTCAAATTTGACGTGGAGTTGCAGAATCATCTAGTTGTCAATACCAACAACATGAACGAGTTAACAAATATAGACAAGTTTTCAGAATCATAACAATATAATGGGTTTTGGTCTTTTGGATGTCAAAAGGACACGTAACACTCCTCATTCAGATAGCATGGTTCGAACTGTTAGCTTATTCGTTCGCCCATTTGTTCAGACGGTTTAATTGGTTCTTGCGCAGGTTTCCAACCATTCCATTAGACTCTCCCAAGTATCATGGCATTTAAAATTGGCAATTTATCTTTTATAAATTTATTTTTTCAGATAATATGATATCTTTTTAATTTTGTTGTAAATAGGCAAGTTTGCTACCAATTTTTCAAGATATGAAAAATAAACTGTAATCATAAAATATGAGAAAAGTAATTTCATTAATTAATTGTGAGTACAATTCTATTTCTCCCTTGATTTTTCTCTCGTAATTATCTTCGTGATTCGAGGGCTAGAGCTGTGTGTTTCTCGAACGTAGGATAATGCAGTCCTCCATGGGGATGAATTTATCTTCATAAAAGGATGTCTCTATTAAAGAATGTTGTAGGTCTTCTTGAAATATTTGATTGTCAAAAAGTATTCCGCCGCATCTTGATCTCTATGTGAATATCCGAGTTTAATGGGCTCTTGGGCTTGAACAACATAAATGGGCTTGTCTTGTAGGTGTCCAACTTAATAGTCTACCCCAAATGTATTTGGAGTCTTGATCCAGCGAAATTCAGATGCTTCTTACCAGGCAATATCTCATTATGAATCATGAAAGTGAACTTCTAAACTATACATGTAATTCTCTTCTCATGGATTGTTTTTAAGTTTCAAATAGAAGAATTACATCTTACTTTTATTTTATTTCCCGTATGTCGCTTCTCCAGCAACGAGCCAGAGAAAACTTGTGGTGATGGTAGAATTTGCACTGACTTGAATCTATTTAGTGATAAGCTCGTTAGTTTCTTCAAATTTTCCTCGATTCCGCACGGTCTTCCTTTTTTATTTTCTTGTATGATTAACTTATCCATTAGCTCTCAAGCAAATAAAGAAAGAACCAGATTGATCAAATGCATCAGGGTGTACTATAAGTTTTTCTACTTTCTAAAATGATTCAATAATAATAAGATGAATAATAGACAAGTCGAGAATAGATCAATCACTATCTACCCTTGTTTTTTGTTCTATTACTACATTCTTAATTTTGAAGGCTGGATATTAAGACTTAGTAGATTGAAGCTTTTCATTCATGACTTCCTCAATAGTAACAGCTCGACCTATCTTAATCGAAAGCTGTGCAGCAACTCCAATAGCTACTGAAACCAAACCATCATGTAAACCAACAGCAGGAGCTTGTTCTCCTCTTGCTCTTACTGCTGACAAAAAGTAGAGGTGCTCTAAGTAGCTTGAACCATGATGTAGCCCATCATATCTGTCAAAGAAAATCGAATTGAAAACATGAGGAAATTATAGCGATAACAAAGACTTAATAGCTCAAGATAAACCAAATGAATTACTTTATTCGCTTATCTTCAGCTAGTAAGGTTTGTACACCATTTCTTCCTTCAGCTCGTGTACCCCAACGCACAATGCCCTCAGGCACAAGTGCTTCGCCCTGATAAATTTGAGAAAGAACATCAAAGGAGGAGGGTAAGTTAAGAGCAAACTTGGCAAGACATTCATAAGTGGGAGTTTATTACAATATCTGTGTAAGAAGAAAAGCGGAATCCGGTGCACTAAGCTCCCGCTATGCGCGGGGTCCGGGTCTTACCCTGCATTTCTGCAAGAGACTGTTTTCACGACTCAAACTTCACATGGCAACAACTTTACCAGTTACGTCAAGGCTCCCCTTCATTTGTGTAAGAAGAGAAAGGGGAAAAAGAGTGTAGGAGATTTACCTTTCCAATATCACCTACTACAGATATTTCTTGCTCATTTTTACTTCCCTCAGCAAACATACAGAGGTCAAGCATGCCGCGGCAACCATTGTCGAATTCCACAATAACATAAGCATTGTCAATTATATCAGGCGCCTGAATATCGAAAACAGAAGTAGTTAAACCATGTCACACAAGACTAACATCTCCCAAAACCATATTTAATTAAGCATGCTTACTCTGCTTTATCTTGAATTGTTCAAAAACTTATGTGGATATAGCCAGTCGTCAACCCTAAACTACCTGGCAGTGATCAGCTAGCTCCACAATTCCAGTATTTCCAGACGAAATAGGACCAATAAAAGGTAGTTTTGAAATTATGAATCATGAAAAATTAGCCAAGTTTTCTTTCTATGTTTTAGATAGATGGCTGCTAAATGTTGGCTTTTGCGCTCTTTGAAATGCTATTGCTAGAGATTATTTGTATCTAATTGAACTTCTGTAGCAAAAAAAGTAAATTACCCGTCCATCATATACTTCATCTTTGTGATTCAAATCCATTGCTCCAGAAGCCATAACACGAACAGGATTAGCTCCAATGAAAAGCCTCATTAGATCAAAGAAATGACAGCATTTCTCTACTAGAGTACCCCCAGTGTTGCAGTTGAACCTATTCCAATTATCGACCTATAAGAAGAACAAGTCATTAGCATTTGTCACTACAATGGAAGTACAAGTTGTTAGCTGAATAACCACCTTAACTAGAAAGGGAAACCGATGTTCTCGAATTGCCACCATCTTCACTTGTCCTAAAGCTCCTTCTTTAACAATGTCTATCAGTTTTGCAACAGGTGGCATATATCTGTACTCTAGCCCAACTTGTACCAACATATCAGATCTCCTTTTGGCAGCAGTTATGACCTGATCCATATTTCAAAACCATTTCAGAGTATAATAGAGGGAAAAATTGAAGATTTCATAGCTGAAAACAAGTGGCCTAGAAACTCTAAAGAAGTTTAGCTGCCGCTACCCGTGCAATATGTAAGTGTATATTTTGAAGCTTTTCTTTTCTGTTTCTCTTGGAATGAGAGGTAGTTGAGATACTACTGACCTTTTGGCAGTCTGAAACATTTGTGCACAAAGGCTTCTCCACCAATACATGATGGGGTTTTGGATGATTGATGATATCCATTAGAATCTCATAGTGAGTCATGTTTGGAGTTGAAACTACCACCACATCACAGAGCCCACTTTCTATCATCTGCTTGTGCCCTGCAAAAACCTGTATATGCAACGACATATCACAATCAACATGTTAAGAAAAAAAAAGACAGTCCGGTGAACTAAGCTCCTGTTATGCGCGGGGTCTGAGTAAGGGCCGAACCACAAGATCAAAATGTTACTTATCATAAAATAAAAATAAATT